ATAAGTATTTCATGAATATAGAAAATAAAGCTCTACGTAGTAAAAGCCCAGAATTATCAATACTTCGACTTTTTAAATCCCGTGTAAAGTCAAATTCCCTTGGCACGACCAAATTCTTCATAGTTAACGGAAGCATTGTTAACGACCCGAATACTATATGCGAACAATTCAGCAAGAACTTCTCGCAGTGCTACAAGACTAGAACTGAAAGCTCCATCATTTCATTTCCAATGCTAACATCCAGACATCTGTCGAAAATTGATTTCACACCCTCCAACATCAAGCAGGCCATAACTACCCTGAAAAAGTCTTATGATGGTGGACCTGACGGGATACCTACATCATTTGTGAAATATGGAAGTAAAGAATTTCCACTATTTTGTTTGAAACTTTTCAATCTGTCTATGGAATATGGGACCTATCCATCTGCATGGAAAACATCTCTTATCACCCCTAGATTCAAAACAGGACCACGTAGTGATATTATTAACTATAGGCCAATTAATTTGACATCCGTGCTGTCAAGAACCATGGAAAAAATCATCCACAAACAGCTACTATCATTTTTACTTTCAGCTAGTCTGATCAGCCCATCCCAACACGGGTTTATGACTAAACGCTCATGTTTCACATCGCACCTGGAGTTTTTTGATCAAATTACCCAGAGAAGAGATGTTGGTCAGTCAGTGATAATTCTTTACTTCGATTTTAGTAAAGCTTTCGACAGTGTCTCACACAAACTTCTTCTTTTAAAACTCTCTTCATTCGGCATACAGAATCCCCTTTTAGCTTGGCTCAAATCTTTTTTAGAAGAACGTAGCCAAATCGTTCGCTTTGGATCTTGCTACTCTAAACCTGTAAATGTAACAAGTGGGGTTATACAAGGAAGTGTGGTTGGTCCATTGCTCTTTCTCCTTTTTATCAATGATGTGTGTTCCCTCTTTCAGTATGGTAAGCCTTTCCTTTTTGCTGATGATCTGAAAGTAGTTTATTCATTCTCTTCTCCCACGAAAGAAAGCTATATTTCTGCGGTAATCCAGGAGGAAATAAACAAGTTGTACGAATGGACTATTTCGTGGAATATGCCACTTAATGTTGACAAAAGCGGATTTATTCACATTGGTCGCTGTCTTAACTTAAATCTGACTGTACAGACACATACACTCAAACCTCTCAACACCGTTCGTGACCTGGGTTTAAGATATAGCAATAGTCTGAACTTTTCTGAACACATTATATCTCAAGTATCCAAAGCTAGAAAGCTCATCGGATTGATAATGATAAACTTCAATAATATGGAATCGAGATTATTATTATACAGAAAATGTATCTTACGCATTCTCGAATATGGTATTTTAGTTTACAGTAATTGTAGACATAATGATCTGATTAGAATTGAAGGTGTTCAAAGAAAGTTCACCAAAGCTGTTCTGGGGTATTCCGATAACAAAGACTATTACCAAAGATGTCAACAACTCAACTTAGAACCTCTTTGGATCAGACGTATCAAATTAAATCTTGTCTTTATCTACCGGCTCATTAACGGTATTTCCTACTCATCGGTATCTACCCCTTCATACCTTATAATATCATCCCACAATCTACGCAATAAGGAGAATATTCTAGCGATTCCAAGAACCCACACAAACTTACGTCAGAATTTTTTCCTTATTCGCTACTCAACCATGTGGAACAGACTGCCAGTGAACCTCCGTTGCAGTGAAACTGCAACCCGGTTCAAAAGTCTCCTTGACGATTTTCTTTCCGAAAGTGGATTATGTCATCTATTGAATATCAATGTATTCAATAATGATTTATACAAACAAGGTCCGTCATTTATTTAATTGCTTGAAAAGCAAAATAAAACCTTTAAATCCTTTCACGTCTATTTTGTTTTATTTCTCTTTATCTTAATATATGAAGTCTGATTATGTTCGTGTTTATCATTATTACCGTTATTAATATCATTATTAGTTCCCCGACACATTAGATATTCTTTTTGTATCTTCTTACCCTTCTAAACATATTTAACTCCAGATTGTCCTTTGAAATCAATTTTGACTTTCATAGCATCAATCTTAATTATTATTGAACAAATATTTAAACTAATATCCGGTTTCACTCTGTGTACTATTACATAAATCTAAGTGTATTCATACGAGTGCTTTAACGGATTTTTATTTTATTTTTCTAAATCGTTGGTTTCCTTCTGAGGTTGATATTCATTACACAATTATTATTTTTATCATGGATGAAACTTTTCACTAGGTGTTCACTTCTTTTCTCTCTTCTTTCCCTCTAAATAATTATTGCTCTTAAGATTACGAAGTTTTTAATTAAGACAATAACTTGTGTTTTATCTTCACTATGCATATATGACTACTCATACATATTGATATTTTATTATCTTTTTCATTTAATTGAGACTTTCATAGCATCACTCCGAACTATGACTGCACAAACATTTATATTCTAGCGTCATATCTTACTGCAATTATAAGTTATTTTTTCTTAATTATTTTTTGTTACTAATTTAACGATACACACATAGTCGTTTATTCTTGTTCTTTGTTCACAAACACGCCTATTAGACTGTTTGCGTATTTCATGTCTCCTTTATTTCTATTCCCTTATTTTCTCCATTTCCTTCTTTAAACTCAATTCAATATTCTTCTCAATTACAAAGAGCCCATTTATTATTATTAATATTCTACTATTATTATTCTCAATTTTTTATTTTATTTTTATTATTATTATTATTTTTTTTTTTTTAAAATATGGCAAGTATAATGCTAACATTATTGAAAATTGTGTATTATTGCATTTTCTGAAGAAACCCGAAATGGTTTCTTCACAACACTTATGTACCCATAAGATGTTTGTGAATAATAATAATAATAATAATAATAATAATAATAATAATATGTGTATATAAACTAACGGGTATACATTATTCAATCAAAATGTGAGAATGTAGTAGACGCTCTTATAGTGATGACGGGAAAGTATGAACATATTCAGTCATCTAGTGTGGCTATTTCCTTAATAAATATTGTCATAACTTACTGTTTTATTATAAAATCTAGGCTATGTCTAGACCAAGAATATATGGTTCGATATAAATATTGGATGCAGCTTGATTACATAAAATATAGTCTTGCAATTTCTTTAACTGCCTTTAATATATGCGTCTTATTCACACTCAGGTCTGTGAATCCTTTCCAAACTTCAGAAAAGTTTCTTAACTATTGCGCAGCATAGTTGATCATGTAGACTGTAAAACGTGAATATAAAAATGTCTCGAAAATAGGGGATTTTGCAAAGTTTCCGTTTCAGACGTTTTTTAATACGACGATCCTAAAGTCAGTCTAATCACTATATATGTGTTGAAGGGCTTGTGACCTAGGCTGACTAATTAATGCAAGAAACGCGCAACACAACGGACTCAAAAGCTATTTGATGCGGATGCTTGATCAGGCTCTTTCAGACAAAACCATGTTCGAACAAGTCTGTAAAGTCAACAGACATGTCGAAGACTTACAAAATTATTTACTACCACAAATTTCAATCACTTGCATCCATGAGGTTGATAAGAATCCAACGTTCGTAGTTAAAGTGGCTATCTTATGGCGCGCTGGGTTTAAATGTAACATAAGAAGTTATGTTCTATAATTCCAGAACTAAATGTGTCTGCTTGTAAACCAAACACACAATCGTCAATAACTACAACGTAGAGGACGTACAATTTCCTTCACTCCCATCTAATATTAATCCAAATGCAATAGTAAGCCGAGACACTAAGATCACAACACACTGTTATCGAGGCCCCCAAATGCCCTTGTACAGCCGAGCGTGGGGAGAGTCCGCTCTCCCTCTCGAAATGCTCTCACATGGCCATGCGTATATAGCCTCTGCCAGGGAAGTCCTACTCACTGCATTCTCGTGGCGGGGTGTTGTTTACGAAAATGAGAGGACGAAAAGCGAATGTCTGGCGCTTTAACCGGATTCCAAACCAATGATGCACATGGGCTCCAGTATCCTGCGGGAACAAATGGCGTATGAACCAATCGTTAGTCACTGGCTACCATGGGACTGCATCTCCTCACGATGCTCCACTGCCTTGTGGGTTAGACCCTTAGGTCAAAGGCTCGGGGTGTGGCCCCCTAAGAAAACTACCTGCTTCGGTCTGGGCACCCGGGCAGTATCACAGCCTTCACACATATCAAATGAGATTTGTGTGGCACATATGTATTTGGTGCCTTCTTGTACCAATATCTATGTGTTAAAATAAATAAATAAATAATCAATGAAGGATTTGGGACTATAATGATGTTAAGGCCAGCTTTCATCCAGTCAGATACGAATATGTTGCCCATGATTTACTCAATAGATGCCTAACTTAGAAAATTGTGTAAGCCGCAAACTCCTGCTTAAAAGGTAGCTTTCATTCTTTGAGTAAGTACAAAGAACAAATATCCTCACAATTACGTAGCTGCTTGTCTCTCCATGTTAGAACAATTAACTTTACCTATGATCAAAAGGTTGTTTGATTTTCGTGTGTACGATACTATGAAATGTCTTTGAGAAAAGCCTATTCGCTTTTGTCCTATGAACCAAGTCAGAAGGGCTCTAAGTACACAGCGTTGATGTCTAACAGCCAAGAATAAACAAAATCTCTATGGGAACAGTTTTCTATCAATTCTTGCAACATACTACTGGAAAAAGTAATGGCTACATCTCCCATTAAATCACTCAAGCGAACTTCAGACACCAGTGAGGGCCCTCTAGGAAGGAACTGACACAGGTCCTAGGCTTACCGTCCTCAAAATAAAAATATTTTAATCTCAAGTCAGCTGAAAAATTCTAACATGAGGATATGTTCAAAAAGAAATCAGATGGTTCATATAATCTCTTTAACTTCACAGGTTATTGCATGCTCCCTTTATAGATACAGTGCTACTAAATGGCCAAAGTAACAGTTGTCTTTCATTTCTTTGTATTAACGCTCATGACCTCTGAATCTGAATTGACTCGTGCGCTACAGTTATGAGCAAAGTCTCCGGGTTCTTTAAGAAGACGGGTTTTAGCTCATGCAAGTTCACTTGGTTCATTAGTACTAAATAATAGGTTTGGTGGCGTGTTTCTACAGTGCACGTGTCAATAGTGAACATTATTTCGTACAATTCAGAAGACGCGGAGTGTTACAAATTTGTGCTACATTCTACGTTAAATAAGAGTTGAGGGTCTACCTCAATGACTAAGTTTCGTTGTGCATTCTTCTTTCTATAGCCAGAAAATAGATATTATCTGTCCCATAGGTCGTCTAATGTGAAACACCAAAATGAGACATATCCGCGCTGTGATTTCATCTACAAAATTAGTAGAATCAGTGCGTCAAACTTTAATATTCCTGGTTGTCATAGTAATCTAGGTGGCCTTCTAAAGCATCACTACGTACGTTTAGTTGAGTAAAAAGTCCCTCATCGTTTTTTTTGCCAGTGTCCGGAAAACCTTTGAAAATAAAATGTTGATGGTTTGCAAGTGTATGGTCTTAGGAAATCTAAATCTAGTGCTCTATCTGACCACAACTTAGAATTAACGAGGTCAGCTTAATGCAATAGTTAGCGCATGTTGTAATAGTGCCAACCACTTTGGAGTGAGCATTTCCCATATTTTGGTTCCTTTGTCGTATGTCTTATAACATTTATGCTGCTAATCGAGTGGCTAGATAAAACTATGTGATTTTCTTAGGTTACCAAGCCCTCAATTTAAAGCTATTCTGAAAGGAGTTGAGCCGTTTTAGACCCTGCATACGTAATAGTAGTCAGTGGATACAATATATTTATCCGTCATGTAGCTTTATTCGAAGTGTTTGAACTTTTCAATCATTTGTATCGTTACTGTAGGCAGACGTGCGTAACTGCTTATTGTAAGCCCCGACATCTACTTTCATCGTTTTGCTTTTATAGGAAAGCTTTCTCACGTCAGAAAAATCTTTTAGTCCATGGTAAATGTGCATTTAGCTCTTCGCAGAAGTAATAGAGCATTTTCTTTTATAGAAAAAGCATATGGGTAGTCGTTTTACTAGTGTAAAACCATGTATTGAAGCATATCCTCTATTATTCGAAGTGAATTTGTGTATCCTTGGACTCCGTGTGAGATCCAAAATACTGGTCTTGAATAAGAGTAGTGGTTGTTTTGAACTTTGTTTAATTTTGTACGTGGTAGCGTCACAGAATTTAAGCTCTTCGAGGGCCTATGTACTTGTTGCTGTTTTTGTCTGACAATTAGCCCGCTACTCATTAGTTTGTATTCTTGTCTTGTGTCGTAAGGTAATTTGTAGATATATCGTATTTCCCTTTGGATGGTTTAGGTAGTCGTTTCTTCACAACCACTTCTGGATGCTTGGTAGAGGAGCCCATTGTTCTAAGCAAATTGAAACGGGGGACTGGTGGGAGAGCCTCATTTAATGGCATGACCGTGACCGTGTTTGGTGGGACTGGATATTTAGGCCGGAATTTAATGGCACAGCTCGCCAAAACTGGAACACAGATTATCCTTCCATACAGATGTGATCCTCATATGATCAGAGATGTAAAAGTTATTGGGGATCTGGGACAAGTTTTATTTTTGGTACGTAATTCTTAGGATTTCTATTTTGTATGCAAACTTGAATGTAGTATTCATGTGTATTCAGGAACATTCAATATTTATCTCGAGATTGATTGGATTCTTCCATATACTTATTTTCATCTTTCTCGTTTTTTTGGGAGAGAGTAGCGTTTCATCCGCTTTTGCCTATGTTGCTATATAGACCCAGTCGCCATGAAACCATTTCCTCAATAACAATGTGAATTAAAGGTCTTTTCACCTGAGTATGATGTTCCTTTTGGCGAACTTAATAGATAAATCATCGAGCTGTCGTCCTTAGGTTAAATAATCTAATTGATTTGAAACCTAAACAATCATGTGATGCTGAGTATTTTAAAAGTCAAGTGTACTGTGAATAAGTGCCGTCCAAAGAAATGGATTTTCCATAAAGTTATTCTTGATGTGCATTGTTCCGCTGCCGTATTCGCTGAAAGTGTACTCTATTTTTTATCCCTGCCTTATATTATTTCGTCAGTTTTGGGACGAGGATTTCTATATTGTTTGGGAGCATAGGAGTTCATGTGTCAACGATTTTCTTATAAATTTGTGTACATTTATGAAATAAAATAGCATTTCATCCTCATATATGGTTCGAATACTGGAACTAAATCAGTTGTCCAACTTGGAATGGTACTTCAGTTATATGGCCATTGTTTATTGGTTGAACCAGTTATGTTGTATGCTTTAAAACAGTGACAAGCTTACCTAAATATCTTAAATCTATGTTCAAATGTAGTAACTAGCAGTTTGCTGGTGATTTTTGGAACTTCCTGCTGTTGTGAACATAAAGTGCACAAATCTAAGTTTTCTCGATGCTCAGTTTGTTTATTTTTATGCATAAATTTTGTCCATGATTCTCCCTCTCTCTCTCTCTCTCTATATATATATATATATATATATATATATATATATATATATGCAGAATTCAGCAATCTCAACTACACCCCCCCTTTATGATATAAATGTTTTTAGTGCGGCGTTACTATTCTGGAGAACTAATATGATGTTTACATTAAATTTATAGCCTTTTGATTTGAAAGATGATGAATCCTTAAGAAAAGCCATGAAGTATAGTGATGTGGTCATTAATCTAACAGGCACAGATTCTGACACTAGAAACTTTACTATTGAACATGTACACATTGATGCGGCCTCGCGGATTGCAAGGATATCTAAAGAATTAGGAGTTCAGCAACTGGTTCATGTATCTGCACTGTGTCAAAATAAGAATCCTCCGAAATATGTTCGGAAGCCCTCTCGATATATGATATCTAAAGCAATTGGTGAAGAGGAGGTTCTGCGTGAACGCCCAGACGCTACGATTTTCAGACCAGCTGAAATATGGGGACCACATGATCGTTTTTTGTGCTATTTTGCTTCAAGACGTAAGTTTAGTTGCTTCTTTTTAGTACTTTGTTAATTTACTAAAATCACAGTTTATGATTTAAGCGTAGCAGAATGTCTGTTATTAAGTCGCGTAGAAAAGTCGATTTAAATATATTTACGTTCCCTACTCGTTTATTGGTTTCTATTTTCGAGATATATGTATGAGTAAAGGTGTTTTTTCTCAATCCATACAACTATTTGTCTAGCATTTGTGTTTATCTCCTTGATATAGTCATCCAAGCATCACAAGGGTCTTTTTATATTACTGAAAATACCTCGCGCTTGGAATCTCTCTAATTTCGTATCTGTTAATTTTATCAGTTCAAGGGACTGTTATGAAATATTCATCCAAGTAATTAGATGCTTAAAGTCACAATATATTTTATATTATAAACTAAAATATGTTTTATCCAGTGATTAAGTTCATAATTGTGCATCTGTTTAGGTTATATACTCGACTCGTAAATGCTCTTGTGTTATGGAAAATAAATGCCTTGTTTATAGACCAAGTAGCTTTTGTCTCTCGTTTTACAGATCTCAGTTATGTTATCCATGGAGACTTGTAAGGTCACGCACCAAGAAAACACCATCTGATGTGATCTTAAGCTATTGTATACATATACAGATAGTGATTTTAATAAATACTCGTACAAACAATGAGAATATTTTATTTTCTTAAGGATCATATCTCTCTGTTCGTGCTCCTGTGTACCACTATACTGTGATATATCAAATTCGTGCCCCCAACAAAGTGGATATTCCTGTAATCATTTCATGATATCATTACTTATACAAAATGTAGGTTAAACTTAACTCGAATTCTCATAAAACTTCATTATGAATGGACAGATTGAGTATATTGTATCGTTAGGACATGAAACCAGGTTATTTACGAGATGGTGATTAATCAGGAAAAAATAAACGCAACTTCAAAGTCAGGAGCAGTGATAAGTAACCTAAAACGTCATTTACTCTAGGCTATCTTTGACCTAATCCAATGTAACAGATGCACTAAAGCTATCCAGTTAAGACGAGTAGATGTATGGTTCATGGAATAGTCTGGTTCCCAACATCTGTCCATCGTTTTGACTCATCGAAGTAACGCATAAGAGAGTTGGCTGTCGGTAAGATTATTTCAGAAAAAATGCAATTGAGGTCTCTTGTCAACTCAATGGATGAGGATGACTGGCAAGTTACTTTTTGGTATAGCCTGACTTCCAGTTACTATTTCTAAATAACGGGGTCAAGGGAACGTCACAACCAATCTCCCGTAACTGTGAGGTATCGTGTTTGGCTGGGTCTCTTAATCAGATTTCAGGGTTTCCTAGAGATGGTGGTCCATCACCAGCTAGAGGCCATGAGCTGCACTGCATCCTACCCAGTAGGTTATTGACTGAATTTGTAAAAACAATTGGTTAAAACCTTCTCATTATGACCACAAAGAGGTCAGACCGGTGTCTAGAATATGAGCTTCAGTGGACATCTTGAGCTGTCATTTAGAAAATTGAAGAAGCCCGGGAAAGTTTAGGATCTGGGAGTGGGTACACATAAGTAAAACACCAAGGATTGATTGCTTCTAATCAGTCACTTGCAGAGAACGCAGGGTCCCTAGCACAATTGTCAAGTTACCACAACTGTTTTGTCATCTATATATAATACCCGACAGCTGACCTAAACAGCAATCGTGGCTTCGCAAAGCATCGGTGATCCACCATATATATATGACTTCATCTATACCAAGAACAGTCTGACTTAACGTTGTCGTGCTGGATAAAGAATTATTTTAAGAAAGCTAATTTTTATTTAACACTAGTCAGAGAAACTTTCTATATGGTTAGTCGTTTCACGTTGTAGTGAAATACCTTGTCTCAGTTGAATTTCGCCACAATTGAAAATTGTATGAGACAATTGAATTCACTCATATATTTTATTTACCACTATCTGGAAAGACTTCATATCAGTTGACCCAAGTTAATAAATTTAAACCACATTTAACAAACTAACATAATTGGATATTTGTGTAGTAAATGTTTGTCTCATGACTTTGTTTATATTCAATAACTTTTGTTTTAATTATTACTCTAAATAAGTTCGGATCATATTGTCCAGTCGAATTTTGTGAATATGGTTTCATTTCCGATGTTTTCTAAACATCCGATCTCCAACTGTTATCAAACTTTGTTCAAATCTCGATAAGTCTTTATAAGTTCATTGGCTAGTTTAAACTGGTTGATTTCATAGTTGGATTTAGAATAGTAAAAATTTCGAGTATAAGATAGGAAGTGGAAAGTTATTCAGGATTATTCACACCTTAGTCAAGTGAATGTCAGTGTCATGATTCACGAGATTATGTTCATTTTTATTATTAGCAATAGAATGACCGTAGCTGCTACCTTGACGTAGTGGCCAGGCTTACCTATCGTGATGACCCAACCGAGCTATATTAACTGGAATGTATGTTCCTGTAGGTTCTACCACGCCAGGCAGGTCGATTGAAGAACGGTAAGACTAAAAGCAGCAACTCAAGGTCTGAGGGCGGAGTCGTACTGCTGACTGTAGAGGGGTGTGACAGAAGTAAGGTGTTTCCCTCGGACAACCAGCATCTGCAGCGATGCTGCCTTCTCACAAGGAAGGAAGGGGTTAGAAAAGGCCGGCCCTAAAAATGTCACATCTCACCTTATCTGACAGATCTCCGTCTTCGGTGGTAAGGCTCTTTGAAGAACGGAGCTAACACGTTAAAAACTTCACACACAGAAAGTCTGTGTGTGACCGACCTCAAGCAGTTGTCCCTTGGGTCCTAATCTACTTGCTTTTTCAGGTTCCTCGAAATATACTCTTCCACGGTGTGGGCAATAGGGAAGTGATATCAGCCCTCATACTCGTAACAGCACACAAGACGAAGTTGGTCGCAATCAAATCTTTCCTACACCTAATAACTCTTATCTCCACGACTAACCCTTCTCACCTCGCGCCGCTAATTCAAACGATTTGAGTACGCGGAACGTTAATTCCAGTCTCCTGAAACCACGCTGTTAACTACATGTAGGAGCTTTCAACGTCCGAACACTGTGCCAAATAGGACAACAGGCTTCCTTAGCTAGGACTTTAGAATCTCGCGCCATCGATGTGTGCTGCGTCTCCGAAACGCGCATACAGTATCCGAGTAGCGTCATTCATTTGATCTCACCAGATCAAAATAAAGAACCATCTTGATTCGCGCTCCGCGTGTTTGGAAGCCCTGATGTTGCTTCCCGTGGCCTCGCTGGTGGAGGTATAGCATTGAGTACTAGGGCAAAACTAGCTCTGAGTTCTTATGTAGAATCTGGGAACTGGACATAATCCCATCTGACTGGTTTCAATCACTGATTGTGCCAGTCTATAAGAAAGGACAAGAGTTCTCTTGTGACAATCACAGAGGAATCAGTTTGACTAATAGACACACATTCAGACGTCCCACAATAGTAGTATTTCTCGACCTTAAGGCGGCATTCGACTCTGTCGATTGTGAGGTTCTATGGCAGTGTTTCTCACTGAAAGGAGTACCAAAAAAGTACATTATCTTATACAGGCTCTCTACCCGAACACAACTGGCCGAGTGAGAGCTTATGGCAAACTGTTAACAGAATTGATTACCTCAAGTGGTGTTCGTCAGGGCTGTCCACTCTCTCCATTCTTGTTCAACTTTGTTGTTGACGTGCTTTCAGAGATAACGCTTTCCTCATCTAAATTTCCAGGAGTTGAACTTCTACCGGGAGATTCACTTGTTGACTTAGAATATGCTGATGACATAGTTTTATTTGGCGAAGACGTTGACAAAATGCAGAGTCTTCTGACCACTAAGCAACAGTGCAAGCATGTTCGGGATATGGTTCTCCCCCTCGAAATGCAAAATGTTACTTCAGGATTGGCTTGCATTGACACCCGAACTAATGATAGGGAGTGAAGTAGTTGAGTGTGTCGACCACTCCACTTGTCTTGGGAGTCACGTCTGCCTTTGTGGTTTAGTGTGTGACGAAATCTCAGCACAGATACAGAAGGCTCGACTGGCTTTTGCCAACTTGCGCCATTTATGGCGTAGGCGGTATATCCGTCTACCAATCAAAGGACGGGTTCACTGCGCAGCAGTGTGTTCCGTCCTACTTTATAGCTGTGAAACGTGGCCTGTAAGAGTCAGAGATATTCGTAGGTTACTAGTGTTCGATCATAGGTGTCTTCGAAGCACTGCCCGTATATCCTAGGACTACCGCGTAAGTAATGCGGTTGTTAGGAAACGGGTACTAGGTAAGGATGACATATCAATTGATGAAGTAGTGAATTTTCATCAGTTGAGATGGCTGAGACATGTGTTACGTATGCCCAACCACCGACTGCCCCGATGTGCGATGTTTTATGGTGTAGAAGTGGGTTGGAAAAAGGCTAGAGGCGGCCAGACCGAAACATGGCACAAATCCATGAAGTCACTGACAAGTGGACTGATCCATGTTGGTAGGTGAAGACCTGGTTGGGATCCGCGAGGTGATAGCAACCGATGGTTATAGACCTTGCATAACATGGCTCAAAACCGTTTGCAATGGCACAGGCGCATCCACTCTTTGTGTTCTTTCAAATTCTAATCTTCTGAATTCGTGATGTCACCTTTTTTTCTCTTTCCAAATTTGTTTCACTGGATTACACTCCATGAATAATATCTTCAAACCCTAATCTTTCCGATTACTGCTTATACTCTTACCACCTCTACCACTATGGGATTTGAATTGACAATTGTATCTCTATGCTAATGCAATGTGGCAACTTGAACTGATATACATATATACGAAGTTCTACGTTGTTGCTGGCTAACTGACGGAAGGGTTGTTTATGTTGACTTCCGATGTTTCTGTAAATCGTCCACGTATCAAACTAGCTATCGATCAAAAATTCATATGTTTTCATACACACCTCGTTCTAACTCTGTCAGTTACCACCTAATAACTTTTTATTAATAGTCCTTTTCCACATAATTTAGACCGTGTTAAGCAGCATATTTCCAATCAAAAACACAATAACGCGACCTTTATTTGAAATTCCTAGTAAAATACATTCTACACCATCATAATCGTTCCTTTGTAAACGTAAGTTTCAGTTTAAACGGTGGTATGGCAACTTGAACTGATGTAAGAAGTTCTACGTTGTTGCTGACTGACTGATTAGTGATAGAGTGATTACATGGATTTTTAGTTAATTACCAATCATATTGCCTATTTTATTTTGTGTTTTGTCGTCTGCTAATTTCCTGTCCGCTTTTAACAACGGTTATGGACTTCGGGCGACATAGTTATAAGAAAATATATATTCTTAGTTGTGGTCATATCCTTTAAAACTTGGGGACAAGCCCACGATCCAAGTATCTTTGTGTTTGAATTGAAATCGGTTCTGCACTAGTAACCAAATCACTTTATTTTACTTCGTGGAAAATCCAAACATTTTGTTGCTTGATTGTCATATTTTTATGCCTGAACCTGTATACACTGTTCAAATATATTGTCTAAGTGATCAGAATTCCGAACATATAGTTTTCATATTTAAATTGACTGTCAGTCAACCTTTTAGAGATCTTTTTCGATTTCAATATTCGCATCTCAAAAGAAAGGTCAAATTCCCAAACGTGTCTTGTTTTACCTAGCACAGGGTACTTATCAGTATATAGATTTTGCTTTAAAGTTGGTCTTAAATTTATTGATTCTATGGTTTTTCATATTTATGCACTTTGTTCAGCTCGGCGATTCCATAGATTTCAAAATGTTCATATCCCATTATGGGCTCGTGGCAAAAATACCGTAAAGCAACCTGTTTGTATACATGATCTTGCCCGTGGAATTGTCAATTCATTGCATAATCCAGAGTCACTAGGACAGATTTATGAAGCCGTTGGTCCTCATCGTTATCGATTAGATGACTTAGTAAAGTGGATTTATTTCATTTGTCGATACTTACCTAGTGAGGTATACGTAACTTCAATGACCCCCTTGTTTTTGTAAGTAACTTATACATATATCACCATACACCATTCTAGTTTTCTATTTTTGTACAACAATTAGTTCAGTACATTTTTTTGAAAACGAGACTGTCATATATTCACATTATTTTTTGAATCATCTATGAGTATCCATAATCAAGCTATTACGATGGCGTGATGATAAAATACAGAATGAAACAGAAGTAGCCGGATCGATAGTTTCTTTCATGATACCGACTTCCTAAAGGCAAGTATATAGGTTTTATAAATTAGAACTATTGACCAATCGACTAAGCATGTGTTTAAATATTAGTCTTAATTTATGTACCAAATGCTCAGTCAAAGGAGTATGACTATGGTTTACTTGTTGGTTAGAAAATGAATGATCAATAATAGAAATCAAGATAAATAAACAGTCCGTGATCACTCACTTCAAGTCTATCATAACGTTGACTACATTGAATCTCATCTGTAGACTTTGTTGAGTTCTTTAATTCAAATATTTGTCGTACAGTAGTTTTAAAAAGTTTGTTTAAATGATCAATTAGTGAATCCAACTCGTAATAACCATTCTACATTATTTATCACGCCATCATTTCATTTATCTTTTATTCACTTTGACGTAAGATATTTTCCAGACGTCATATTTAGTATTATAGTGGTTAAGATATCCTACTTTCAACCACTAACTAGGTCTCAGGCTCGAATCCCACCCCACTTCGGTTTGGGGAACCGAGTATAATCACTAGCCATTACATCAAGAATTTAGCTCGGAGCCGGGTACGCGAATCTGTATTTGATAAGTGAATCACATCATTTTGTCCTATCTTATCTTAAATTTTATCTTCACTCTATCTATGAGCACGGTTGGTACAGATCTGGTAAGCATTCATCTCTAGTGATTTTGAGACAACTTCATCATTATTTTACTTTTGGAATGTGTAGTGCCCGATAATGACACTTCATAAGCAGAAATTATATAATTATTCTGCGTATACTCAATTAAGAACATAAGATTAATCAATCAGAATTTTCGAATGCATAGATCAAACTATCTACCAATAAGCTTGAATTATAACAAGTGCTGTAGACAGTTGCTTTTCTAGCCAAAAAAAATAGATCCTAGGTATTTCGAAAAGTTAATGACTTCTTGAATGACCCACGTTATTACCTCTTAACTCTGACACTTGGAATCTGAAATCGGTTGACGTTTTTGTCTCTAAATTGTTGCCACACATTCTGCAATATATAATTGATATTTAGGAAGTTTCCTCAATTGTATTGTTATGTATCGTATTTTTAATAAATAATCGTAAGTTATCACGTACACTAGCATAAATTTAGTAATTTTATTTTGAAATTGACTTTGGACAATAACTAGAGTTTAGATTTTCGCATCGATGGCTGCATACCTAGTATAGTGCATAAAATTTTCGTACATCCAAAGCAATATTAAGTTGGGAGGTAGTGATTTTAAATATATAATCTGAGTACAATGATAGAAAGATCTACGTGTCAGTTATGACAATTTTTGGCATTATGCAAAACTAGATAAGTGTCTACGGACATGTATTGAGTTCAGCGATGACATTTCATGTGATTGACAGCTGGTTTTTATTCATTCTTGGTTTATGTATCAGCTAGGTTAACGAAGGTGATAAGATTGATGGTATTTCTAACTTTCTTTGTTAGTTATGTTGGCCCTATATTCATTAATCAGTGAGTGCTTCGTTTTGCAAATAGTACAGTTCTGTTGCTTCTATCCGAAATCAAACAGATAAGGTTAGTAGTTAATATTGGAGACGTAATTCTCTGCAAATTTTAATATTCTTCACGTCACGTTTTGTGGCTTGCTACTTGAAAACATTTATCAGCGAAACTAGTTTTTGACAATTTTTTGTCGTTTTGACTTCGGGAATTGCAGTGAACCTCCATTCACTGGTCAAAATATTATTGCAATCATTGTTAGTCATTATTCACTTAATACTAGGTTTAGAACTGTCTGTTAGAGTGAATTATGTTTATAAGGATTGTTTTATCATTTGTTGTCCACTTTCTTTGAATCACTCCATCAATTATTTTCTGTTTTACTGTTCTGTCTTCAAGTTAAAATATATTCGTTTTACCTACATTTTACTCAGAGCCCGAACTTACATCTATGAACGTCTTTCTCCCAATTATTCCCACCTTACATTTGAACGGTTAGAGAGAGAAAGTGCTACGGATATTTTATCTGGTTGCCCAACACTTGATGACCTTAATGTCAAGCTAAGCAAATTGGAGGACCACATTAATCATATTGTATTTCTTTACCGCCGGCAGCATTTCTATTGGGACGCTCTTGGTGAATTTCCGGAACCACCTCCTCCTCCTATCCAATTTCAATAAGTTTCTGCTTAATTTGAATTCAATACCTAGAATTCATAGTATGGTATTGTTGTTTGAGAAATAAATATATACAAACAATCACTCAGCATTAATGCAAAATTTTAAATTGCCTAATCAGTTTATTACAATGGGTGGTAATGTAGTTATAGAAATTTAAACTTGAACATAGACCCGTTAAATATTAGCGAAATAATTGTGACCAGTGTTTGGTAACGGAAACAAATCGGACGGTAAAAGCAATAGTGATACGTAACGTTTAGCAGTTTTGACTCATCGAAGTAACAGGCATAAGAGAGTTGGCTTTCAGTAAGATTATTTCAGAAAAAATGCAATTGAGGTCTCTTGTCAACTCAGTGGATGAGGATGACTGGCAAGTTACTTTTTGGTATAGCCTGACTTCCAGTTACTATTTCTAAATAACGGGGTCAAGGGAACGTCACAACCAATCTCCCGTAACTGTGAGGTATCGTGTTTGGCTGGGTCTCTTAATCAGATTTCAGGGTTTCCTAGAGATGGTGGTCCATCACCAGCTAGAGGCCATGAGCTGCACTGCATCCTACCCAGTAGGTTATTGACTGAATTTGTAAAAACAATTGGTTAAAACCTTCTCATTATGACCACAAAGAGGTCAGACCGGTGTCTAGAATATGAGCTTCAGTGGACATCTTGAGCTGTCATTTAGAAAATTGAAGAAGCCCGGGAAAGTTTAGGATCTGGGAGTGGGTACACATAAGTAAAACACCAAGGATTGATTGCTTCTAATCAGTCACTTGCAGAGAACGCAGGGTCCCTAGCACAATTGTCAAGTTACCACAACTGTTTTGTCATCTATATATAATACCCGACAGCTGACCTAAACAGCAATCGTGGCTTCGCAAAGCATCGGTGATCCACCATATATATATGACTTCATCTATACCAAGAACAGTCTGACTTAACGTTGTCGTGCTGGATAAAGAATTATTTTAAGAAAGCTAATTTTTATTTAACACTAGTCAGAGAAACTTTCTATATGGTTAGTCGTTTCACGTTGTAGTGAAATACCTTGTCTCAGTTGAATTTCGCCACAATTGAAAATTGTATGAGACAATTGAATTCACTCATATATTTTATTTACCACTATCTGGAAAGACTTCATATCAGTTGACCCAAGTTAATAAATCTAAACCACATTTAACAAACTAACATAATTGGATATTTGTGTAGTAAATGTTTGTCTCATGACTTTGTTTATATTCAATAACTTTTGTTTTAATTATTACTCTAAATAAGTTCGGATCATATTGTCCAGTCGAATTTTGTGAATATGGTTTCATTTCCGATGTTTTCTAAACATCCGATCTCCAACTGTTATCAAACTTTGTTCAAATCTCGATAAGTCTTTATAAGTTCATTGGCTAGTTTAAACTGGTTGATTTCATAGTTGGATTTAGAATAGTAAAAATTTCGAGTATAAGATAGGAAGTGGAAAGTTATTCAGGATTATTCACACCTTAGTCAAGTGAATGTCAGTGTCATGATTCACGAGATTATGTTCATTTTTATTATTAGCAATAGAATGACCGTAGCTGCTACCTTGACGTAGTGGCCAGGCTTACCTATCGTGATGACCCAACCGAGCTATATTAACTGGAATGTATGTTCCTGTAGGTTCTACCACGCCAGGCAGGTCGATTGAAGAACGGTAAGACTAAAAGCAGCAACTCAAGGTCTGAGGGCGGAGTCGTACTGCTGACTGTAGAGGGGTGTGACAGAAGTAAGGTGTTTCCCTCGGACAACCAGCATCTGCAGCGATGCTGCCTTCTCACAAGGAAGGAAGGGGTTAGAAAAGGCCGGCCCTAAAAATGTCACATCTCACCTTATCTGACAGATCTCCGTCTTCGGTGGTAAGGCTCTTTGAAGAACGGAGCTAACACGTTAAAAACTTCACACACAGAAAGTCTGTGTGTGACCGACCTCAAGCAGTTGTCCCTTGGGTCCTAATCTACTTGCTTTTTCAGGTTCCTCGAAATATACTCTTCCACGGTGTGGGCAATAGGGAAGTGATATCAGCCCTCATACTCGTAACAGCACACAAGACGAAGTTGGTCGCAATCAAATCTTTCCTACACCTAATAACTCTTATCTCCACGACTAACCCTTCTCACCTCGCGCCGCTAATTCAAACGATTTGAGTACGCGGAACGTTAATTCCAGTCTCCTGAAACCACGCTGTTAACTACATGTAGGAGCTTTCAACGTCCGAACACTGTGCCAAATAGGACAACAGGCTTCCTTAGCTAGGACTTTAGAATCTCGCGCCATCGATGTGTGCTGCGTCTCCGAAACGCGCATACAGTATCCGAGTAGCGTCATTCATTTGATCTCACCAGATCAAAATAAAGAACCATCTTGATTCGCGCTCCGCGTGTTTGGAAGCCCTAATGTTGCTTCCCGTGGCCTCGCTGGTGGAGGTATAGCATTGAGTACTAGGGCAAAACTAGCTCTGAGTTCTTATGTAGAATCTGGGAACTGGACATAATCCCATCTGACTGGTTTCAATCACTGATTGTGCCAGTCTATAAGAAAGGACAAGAGTTCTCTTGTGACAATCACAGAGGAATCAGTTTGACTAATAGACACACATTCAGACGTCCCACAATAGTAGTATTTCTCGACCTTAAGGCGGCATTCGACTCTGTCGATTGTGAGGTTCTATGGCAGTGTTTCTCACTGAAAGGAGTACCAAAAAAGTACATTACCTTATACAGGCTCTCTACCCGAACACAACTGGCCGAGTGAGAGCTTATGGCAAACTGTTAACAGAATTGATTACCTCAAGTGGTGTTCGTCAGGGCTGTCCACTCTCTCCATTCTTGTTCAACTTTGTTGTTGACGTGCTTTCAGAGATAACGCTTTCCTCATCTAAATTTCCAGGAGTTGAACTTCCACCGGGAGATTCACTTGTTGACTTAGAATATGCTGATGACATAGTTTTATTTGGCGAAGACGCTGACAAAATGCAGAGTCTTCTGACCACTAAGCAACAGTGCAAGCATGTTCGGGATATGGTTCTCCCCCTCGAAATGCAAAATGTTACTTCAGGATTGGCTTGCATTGACACCCGAACTAATGATAGGGAGTGAAGTAGTTGAGTGTGTCGACCACTCCACTTGTCTTGGGAGTCACGTCTGCCTTTGTGGTTTAGTGTGTGACGAAATCTCAGCACAGATACAGAAGGCTCGACTGGCTTTTGCCAACTTGCGCCATTTATGGCGTAGGCGGTATATCCGTCTACCAATCAAAGGACGGGTTCACTGCGCAGCAGTGTGTTCCGTCCTACTTTATAGCTGTGAAACGTGGCCTGTAAGAGTCAGAGATATTCGTAGGTTACTAGTGTTCGATCATAGGTGTCTTCGAAGCACTGCCCGTATATCCTAGGACCACCGCGTAAGTAATGCGGTTGTTAGGAAACGGGTACTAGGTAAGGATGACATATCAATTGATGAAGTAGTGAATTTTCATCAGTTGAGATGGCTGAGACATGTGTTACGTATGCCCAACCACCGACTGCCCCGATGTGCGATGTTTTATGGTGTAGAAGTGGGTTGGAAAAAGGCTAGAGGCGGCCAGACCGAAACATGGCACAAATCCATGAAGTCACTGACAAGTGGGCTGATCTATGTTGATAGGTGTAGACTACCTGGTTGGGATCCGCGAGGTGATAGCAACCGATGGTTATAGACCTTGCATAACATGGCTCAAAACCGTTTGCAATGGCACAGGAGCATCCTTTCTTTCTATTCTTTCATATTCTATTTTTCTGAACTATTTTTATTGTTCCCCAACTTCTTATATGTTTATATGTGTTGTGAAGGAACCATTTTGGGTCTCTTCACAAATTGAATAATACACAAGTTTCTCTAATTTTATTATTATATTTGCCATAGTTGAAAGATGAGGTTAATAATAGAATGATATTAAATGAGTTTCTGTTTAATTGAGGAGAATATTGAATTGAGTTTGTTGAAGGAAAGTTAAAAAATAAGGTAATAGAAATAAAGGAGACCTGAAATATGCAAATAATTTAATAGGCCTGTTTATGAACTCAGAACAGGAATAAACGACGATCTATCTATCTTCAAAATTGTAACAGAAGTAAAGTAGAAAATAATTAACAAAAAATAGCTTCTTATTGCAGTAAGATTTGACTCTAGAATAATTGTTTTTGCAGTCATTATTTTGGAGTGATTTTATGAAAGTCTCAATTAAATGAAAACGTTAACCAAACATCAGTATCTATTAGACACATATGTTACGGAAGCACGGAAGACATTTAGCGGAATAAAATCTTCTATTGTACATCAATAATTTACTGTTTTTGGATGTAATTGTTTTACTTAACTTCTGAACTTGTTTATTTATATCATTACTTCAGACATTTTGGTTTGTCTTTGGTTTGGTATTTGGGAGTTTTGCTCAGGGAACCTACAAAATTGAAGGTTTTGTAATTGTTATAATTATTGTTGTTAGAACGACATTTGGTCGACTATTTGTGAATTATGAATAAATTTGATATCTAAATTGGAGCTTGGTTCTGTTGTCAATCTGGGTTCGTAATTTGCAAGTAGATAGATAGTTCGTACTTCAATAACTGGAACGAGCAAAACTTGGACGTAACAACATATGCATAGTGAAGATAAAACGAATCTGAGAAGTTAATTTAGGTGTGACACAAGATGTTGTCTTCATTAAAAACTTCGGAATCTTATGAATAATATTTATTTAGAAGGAAAATTCAGGGAGAAAATAAATGAACAGCTGGTGAAATGGTTCAATCATGATAACAATAATAATAATAATTGTGTGATGAATACCAACCTCTGAAACGAACCAACAATTTCCAAAAATAATTTAGTGCACTCGGATAAATACATGTAAATTTATGTAATAGTATACAGAGTGAAACCAGAAATTAGTATAAACATTTGTGCAATAATAGTTAAGAATAATGCTATGAAAGTCACAATTAATTTCAAAGGACAATCAGGAATTAAATATGTTTAGAAGGATAAGAAGAGATAAAAAAATACTTAATGTGTTGGGGGATCAATAATAACATTAATAACAGTAATAATTACAGATACGAACATAAGCAGACTCCATATATTAAGATGAATAAAAATAAAA